TCGGATAAAGTGGTCCATAAAATATGTATGTTTTTTGGGCCTTTCCTGACTCAGATAATAATACCACCACTGTTGCAAATTGTGGCCTGTCTAATTTTTCTTGATTTACTTTATCCTAATACTTTCATTTATTCCATGCCCTTTGAAGAAAAGAAACTGCTTCCATGTGAAGTCAATTTAAATCTAAAGCTAAATAATGAACCAAGTTCAATTAGTCCATTATATTTTGCTTTTTTGTCCAAGTTGCATACACTGTTTTCTCCTTTTATTGTCTCATAGGAATAAACCCATGGTCTTGGAATTATCAGATGCATTGGATTCCTTTTTGCAAAGCAGCAGGGAGAGGTATTAATTTGGAAAAAGGAATGTAATATCTGATTGTCTCTCCATTAGCCTTTAAAGCGATTTTTTAAAAAGAGGCTGGGAAGCCTGCTGGACTCTAAGTCCCCTCTCCACCCCTGAAGCTCAGAGGACATTTCAAGAATGTCCTCTGATAATGAAAAACTGTGTTTTCTGACAGACCTAGCACTAGCAATTAAATAAACTTTAAATATATATATATATATATATATATATATATATCCTTAATACATCTTCTTTGGAAGGAAACACAATGGAAGCAAGTGGGAAAAAGACAATAGGATTGTAAACATTATTATCCGAGCTTCTCTTGACGTTACGTGCATGAGGCAAGATGATTGCGCCATAAAGTCTCCTCTGGAAATATCCTGGCTATTATGAAAATGAACCATTGATTCTTTAGCAGGCAAGGAATTTATCATCCTGTTAAAAACTGCAGAACTTGGCTGGGGCTAGATAAGATAATTGGGGGTCTCAGTCTGCTAAGATGACCTAGAAATAGCAGCTATTCTTAGACATGGAACGAGGCAGTTGCCTCAGACCAATTATAGGTGTTGGTGTCTGTATATGCTTGTGTGTGTGTATGCACACTCACACGCAGATAAGTGGTTACCTTCTTAAGCCATCCGTGGCTTAAAGAGAGCCTTCCGCTGTAAAGCAAATTACACTGATGGAAATATTCAAACCTGACTTCGTATCTATCTGTTCTACATCTCCATTGTGTTCCATAGTTTAATACATTTGTAAATTTTCTGTTGTCTGCACAAACACTGTTTAACAGGTTAAAATGGCCCAAGAGAAAGCTCAAGCTCATTCTAAACTGAGCAATACATCATTGACAAATAGTGAATAACACTACAGAGCCTTGGTGGTGCAGCGGACTAAAGTGCTGTTAACTAGCACTTAGCTGCCAGCTGCCTGCAATTACTGCAAGTTCAAATCTCACCAGGCTCAAGTTTGACTCAGCCTTCCATCCTTCCGAGGTAGGTAAAATGAGGACCCAGATTGTGGGGGCAATAAGCTGACTTTGTATAAAAAACAACACTGCTTAGTGGGGGCCAAAAGCCCTACTAAGCAGGTATATACAAAAGTATGAAGGCTATTGCTTAATGCATTGTAAGCCGCCCTGAGTCTCCGGAGAAGAACGAAGGATATAAATCGAATAAATAAATAAATAAATAAATAAATAAATAAATAAATAATAACTTGGGGAATGTACTGTGCAGTGATGGGATTCAACCGATGTAACAAGTGGTTTGTTGGGTGCGCGCGCACAGTGCATTTGAAAAAAGCTCTAAAACATGCCTTCTACTTCAGCCCAGTGAATAAAACAGTTGAGGCATGGCAATTCACTCTGCCGCGCTGATCAGCTGGGCTTCAAACACAGGAAATATAGATCAGTATAGCAGGGGTACAGCAGGGGCTGGTGGGCGGGCCCACCTGATCGTTGGAGCGAACCAGTTCTATCTCAGCTGATCGTCGGAGCTACTGGTACGTCCAAACTGGTGCGAACTGGCAGAATCCCACTCTGGTACTGTGCCTTTTTCTTTCTTTAGACTTAAAAAAAAAAAATAAAGTTCAACTGAAGAAAATAAAACCTTAGAGATTCGCATTATCTAACTATAGTACCAGAATGAACCAGCAGAGGACAGCCTTCCACAAGAAATTTCCCCAAGTATGTATGAGCCCAAAGCCTAATTATCTGAAAAGAATCTCTCTTACTTTTTCTGAAGTTGAAAGAAAATGAGGAGCTACTTTAAGAGGTCCTTGCTATAAGTATCTTCCGTGGAGGAGGCTAATAGGATTTTGTGGCAACTAGGAATATCAGAGAAAGACTTTACAAATATTAGTTAAAGATAACATGGCCTGGGAAAATGCCCCGATTTAGAATGATATCTCTTTCCTGGCTGCATTATAATCCAGGAAGGGATTATAAGGATTTTAGTTTTACCAGTTTGCTTAGCAGCCTCACACAACTACATGATGAATGTAGCTTTGCTGGCATTTCTTCTCCAGAACTTATTCATAAATCTGGGGGTTTCCATAGAAGAATAGAATGGAATGGAATGGAATAGAATAGAATAGAATAGAATAGAATAGAATAGAATAGAATAGAATAGAATAGAATTCTTTATTGGCCAAGTGTGATTGGACACACAGGGAATTTGTCTTGGTGCATATGCTCTCAGTGTACATAAAAGAAAAGATACATTCGTCAAGAATCATAAGGTACAACACTTAATGATAGACATACAGTCAATATGAATCTTAAGGATACCAGCAACAAGGCTACAGTCATACCGTCATAAGTGGGAGGAGATGGGTGATATGAACGATGAGAAGATTAACAGTAATGCAGACTTAGTGAATAGTTTGACAGTGTTGAGGGAATTATTTGTTTAGCAGAGTGATGGCATTTAGGAAAAAACTGTTCTTGGGTCTAGTTGTTCTGGTGTGCAGTGCTCTATAGCCTCGTTTTGAGGGTAGGAGTTGAAACAGGAGTTTACCATGATCCACGAATAGTAAGACTACACAGGTGCAACTGAGTCCAAAGTCTTCATTGTCACTCAGGAGCTTCTCAGCTGAATTATACACCAGAACTTCAAGGAAACCCTAAGCTCCCTCTGAAACCCTGCATGATCTATAAGGCACCTGGGCTGGACTGATTTTCTTCTTTTAGCAGAAGTTAGCAACAGAGAACTCCAAAGCTAACAGTGAGTGATCTGTCCAAGGCTAATAGTAACACTATAGAATTCCAGGATGCTTTGGTACTACTTGAGATAAAACCAGAAGTAGCGTGTGGCACAAGCATGCATGCATGTGCATACACTCGCCTTATTCTTTACAATTGGTACTTCGGATGTAAGGAAAAGGTCCCCCTCCCTGCAGTGAGAAAAGTTTTTCCTGTCTCTTGTGATTCACTTGGGTAAATCAGGTAGAGAATTGGGAAGGGAAGTAAATGAAGGTAATGGGGAGAAGGAATTGATCGTTTCTATTCATGTTGTAGTGAGAAATACTGAGGGGAATTGAGGAGGTCTGCCAGATGGATGTGTATTGTAATTGCAAGCCAGATCTTATTAGAGGATTGTTGTTACTTGACACTAGTGGAGTGGAGTGGAAGAGGGGAGCTAGGCAGCCCAGAGGAGTGAAGATAATAGGGAGGAAAGTACTTATGGCAGGAAGAGGGACATATAATGCGAGATGGGAGGAAAATAAGTTGAGTATCTGGTACCAATCTCTAATTCCAGCCCCCTGTCTCAACTCATGAACAAGGCATCCAGATCACTTGGCTATCCTTGTTTCTGGTTAATGGTTCTGAATGCTAGGTATATCTGTAATAAATTTAACCCTATCTACAATTTAATTGTGGATAAGAGATCAGATCTGGTGTGCACTATTGAGACCTGGCTGAATAAGATGTGAGGAGTCTCCATTATGGACATCTACCCAGTCAGATTTCATATAATCATCAGTCCTGATTTCAGAGTAAGGGAGATAGCCTGGAAATTTTTTATCATGAGACTCTGGCGTTTGCAAGATCATTTTTCTTCAGGAGGCCAGATATGAGTTGTTTGAACACATTGCAGTAGATTTACTCAGAGTGTTAGTTTTGGGCAGTTTTAGTCTCCCTTCTCTGACATCTGAGATGGCTTCAGAATTCATGCCCATAATAATAATCATGGATTTGCCTAGGTTGTCACTGGTACAACCCATGTAGCTGACCATCTACCTGGATTTTATTGTAGAACAGTTGAGGTAAGATCTAGTACTGGAAGACTTTTTCCTTACTCACTTGTTATGGACACTTCATCCTGTCTGTAAGGTTAACTGGAGACACTAATCCTTGCAGATAGAAAGTGTCAATTACAATGGCCTGCCCCAGATTTTGATGGACTTGGAGAAATTCCAGACAGCATTTGGGTAATTTCTTAGAGATCAGGAGGGTAGGTCTATAAATGGCTTGTCTGGAATGTGAGAATGACTAGGGTACTGGACAGATTGAGCACTGCTTCTCAATCTTAGACTGTTCCTTGATTCTTTGAGGTGCTTTGTGAGATGAAATGAGTGAATAGGTACATGAGAAATGGTTCTAACTAGACATATATAGAGCTTAAATTAGAGCTTTTTATTTATGGTGGTAAAGGTGGCTCTGTGGGAATATTTTTCAGTCCTCATTGTATTTGCAGATAGTTAGCTTGATGTACTCATTAGTATGTTTCAAACCCTTCTTGGCTGGCAAACTCTATTGATATATGTTCTAATTGTCTGACCAAACATTGTATGGTTACAATAACTCATATTAATTCTGAATAAAAAGTTGGGTGCATAGAATCCAAAGAAGTGACAGAATGATGTTTGCAATGTTATTTGAAAGTTTTAGAGCCTGTAGATCTCAAAAAGTAAAAACATATGGGCTAAACTTCATCCCATCTAGTTAACTAAATTTTGAAATAGCTGACATAAAGGAACTAAACTTGGTACCCCATGAGCATCACAGCTTAATGGAGATTTGAATACTAGTCTTCCCAGTCCCAATTGAGTTGTCAAAGCTTGCTCTATTGTTTAACTGTTGCAGATGTATAATATATCTCCAATGTCTTTTTCCTTCCTTCCTTCCTTCCTTCCCTCCCTTTCTGCAGACTTCACATATAATTTGTCTTCTCAGCCTGAACTGTTAAGGATGGCCAACTTCACCAATGGCAATTTCACCAAGGAAAACATCGCTAAGTATAAAATTGTGGAAATGATTTTCATAGCTACCGTAACTGGGTCACTTAGTCTTGTCACTGTGGTTGGAAATATCTTGGTCATGCTGTCCATCAAAGTGAACCGCCAACTTCAGACTGTCAACAACTATTTCCTCTTTAGCTTGGCCTGTGCTGACTTGATAATTGGCATCTTCTCAATGAATCTCTACACCGTGTATATAGTTAAGGGCTATTGGCCACTTGGGGCTGTAGTATGTGACCTCTGGCTGGCGCTGGACTATGTAGTGAGTAATGCCTCTGTCATGAACTTACTCATCATCAGTTTTGACCGCTATTTCTGCGTTACCAAACCACTGACCTACCCAGCTAGGCGGACAACCAAAATGGCAGGACTGATGATTGCAGTTGCTTGGATATTATCCTTTATCCTCTGGGCACCTGCCATATTGTTTTGGCAGTTCATTGTCGGAGAGAGGACAGTACCAGAAGGACAGTGTTACATTCAGTTCCTCTCCAATCCGGCTGTAACCTTTGGCACAGCCATTGCTGCTTTCTACCTCCCAGTGGTTATCATGACTGTGCTGTACATCCACATCTCATTGGCCAGCCGGAGCCGTGTGAGAAGGCACAAACCAGAGAGTAAGAAAGAGAAGCGGACTAAGCCACTCAGTTTTCTGAAAAGTCCTCTGGTCAAGCAGAATAACAACAATTCTCCCAAGAAAGTGGTGGAGGTAAAGGAGGAAGCAAAAAATGGGAAAGTAGAAGAGCAGCCGTTGCAACCATCTGAAACTACTGGCCACCAAGAGGAGAAAGAAACCTCTAATGAATCCAGCACAGTAAGTATCACCCAGACGAATAAAGAGAAACAGGGGCTGGAGATTGTACCAGCTGATACAGGTGAGAGCCCTGCCCATCCTCGGATCAACCCTGGCTCTAAGTGGTCCAAAATTAAGATAGTCACTAAACAAACTGGGACTGAATGTGTCACTGCCATTGAGATTGTCGCAGAGAAAGAAGCCCGTTCCACCCCAATTACCTTATCAAACAGCCGTCCAGCTAACGTTGCCAGGAAATTTGCCAGCATTGCCAGGAGTCAGGTTAGGAAGAAGCGACAAATGGCAGCTCGAGAGAAGAAAGTCACCAGAACCATTTTTGCCATCTTGTTGGCTTTCATTTTGACATGGACACCTTACAACGTGATGGTTCTCATTAATACTTTCTGTGATTATTGTGTTCCTGAAACAGTCTGGTCCATTGGGTACTGGTTGTGTTATGTCAACAGCACCATCAACCCAGCTTGTTATGCCCTTTGCAATGCTACCTTCAAGAAAACCTTTAAGCATCTTCTTATGTGTCAGTACAGGAATATTGGTACCGCAAGATAATCTGGATTTGGGGGAAGACTCAGCAATGGGGTCGTGTGTTGAGATTTGTTATTCTCCAACCAGATAACTCTATTATTCTTAGTCATACCATTCATTACTAGATGGAGCCTTTCACCAAATACAGAATCAGAACTAGTGAAAACATATGATTTCGACATACTTGGCTCTTAAATATTCACCAAGAAATAGGCAGATCTTCCACCCAGATAATCCTCTTGACTGTGCTTCTTCAGAAAACAAAGAAGAAGAAGGAAGCTAGGGATTAGATGTGGTGAAGCCTCACAGTATCACCGACAGACAGACGTAACAGACCATGCTCTTTTGCCCTGCTGCTCTTGAAATAATATAAACTTTCATGATCTTCTAATTTCTGTCTGACTAAACTAGGATGCCTCTATTGGTGGCTAGGTGGTATATTAGAAAGAAATGCAACAAAAAAGATCCTTCTTTCCTTGGATGCATTGCTGGCTTTAAACTTGTGTGCACCTATGAGACAGAAAGAGTAGCAAGGGACAACAGGGTTAATTAATTAAACAGTGAAAATGAAAACAAAAATATATTGTTTCAGCACCAATCATCAAGCTGTATCAATTTCTATTTGTAGGCTCTAGGATTTTGTCTAGTTGAATTTCCAGTGTCCCAGATGCAAGGGACTTGTTCCTCTCAGGGAATATATCAGCTGCTGGATAGACCTGTCCGCTTCATAGGCTTCTCAAGGACCTTACCAAATCTGCCTCAACTTCATTTCTCCATGGCAGGCTGTTGGGCCAAACAGATTTCTTTCAGGATGAGTTTTTTCAAAACCTCAGATTGTTTTGAAAAAACAAAAAACAGGAATATCACATGGATACTCAAAGTCAGTTCTACAACATTTTGGGTCATGTGTCAAAGTTGTCTAAAGTTATTAATCTCAAAGGTAAGCATGGTGTCCTTGAAGCAGTGGAAGCTCAATTGCAGCTCCAAGAAGAACAGCAAACCAGGCAACAATGATGGTGGAAGAAGAGCTCTACGCTGGCAAGTCTTTCTAAGAGAGTCTTTAAAGCCCTTCGTTTTTGTTCCTTTTAAAATTATGTCACCATGCATACCAAGTCCCCCTTGCTCTACACATATTTGCTTAAGTATCATTTCTTTTTATGTACTTATTTTTTAAAAAAATATTTGATACTAGGTTCTGAAGCAGGCTGTGGCGGAGAAAAAAAATGAGTGGCTGCCCCACTTGTTTCTGCATTATGAATTTGAGGGCACACTAAGAAGATACTCATGAGCTTTGTAAATGAGCATTGCCTTCCTTCTAGTCAGTGTTGTCATAGATCCCTCAGCATGTGGGTTCCAGTGTACATATGCAGCCTAAATCCCAGAATACTCATGTTCCGTGTAAACCCATTAAATTGCTCAGTGTCTCTGGCACCCTCAGGAACATATTAGAGCAGAGTATAATCAGTGATCCAATGTTTCCTGGGTTGGTCGGAGTGACCATGGCTATAGATCTCTCTATTTCATGGCTAAGGGCTCTCAGTTTAAGAGATGCCCTTACATTTGGCCAAAGGCTCCTGCTTCATGTGGCTGTAGAGGCAGCTAGGCTGCCACTGCCTTTCACATAATTTGCATAATGTTGCCCAAAATGCCTTGCAGTGTTTTTTAAAAATTAATTTATTAATTTATTTGTTACAACTACAGTGGGAACCACTTAAACAAATAAAAGAATTGAACTACATATAGCACACCTTTGGGTCAATCTTTTTTCAATGAGTTGCAAATATTCTTCTCCTCCACAGAGCATCATTTAAGATATTAGGGATTAAACTTGAAACTCTCTCAAGATTTTGTGAATTAAGAGGTCTCATGAAAAAATTCAAGATGAACTAGGGAGTGTTCCCCAATCTAGTGACCTCTGGATCTGTTGGCCAGAATTCCTAGCCAATTCAATGTATTCCAAGGGAATCAAATTGGAAAACTTCCAATTTAGAATATTTTAAATAACGGTTAGGATGATATAATAGATCTTTTGTAAATTTAATCAAGTTGTAAAGCTATATAACATGTAAAATAAAGTTATGGTAATCTAGAATAAGAAATAGTTATTGGTTAAGATGCTTAAAGATTACTTGCTCAGAATTAACTTATCCTAAAATACCATTTTGGAACTAGAATGACTTAATAGGAAATTAAGAGTGGACTGTCACATAGCCGTATTCCCACAATAAACTAAGATAATTTGACAGGCCTAGCACCTCATTGGAATCTGGATTATAGGTTAAATTGTGGTTAAGGAGTACATTAACAATTTTAACAATGTTTTGTTAACCTTCTTTCCTTGTGTTTTCTGGACCTATACATCAAGATTAACTGCTTGTAAACTTTGGTTCTGGACTCCACACTAAGAGGTGACTAGAATGGTTGCAAAATGGGACTGCACAAGTTGCATCCGCAATAGTTAAAGCAAACATTTCAACTGGTTAGACACTGTCCAGGTAATTATGATATCTTTTATAGCAATAGCACTTAGGCTTATATATTGCTACATAGATCTTTATAGTACTCTCTAAGTGGTTTACAAATGTCAGAGCTTTCCCCAGACTCCAGGACTGGCCCATGTTCCTCCCCAACCTCCTCACAGTCCGAATCTGCTGCCAGCTCCACTGGCTGCTGGCGTGCCACAACACTGCCAGGAAATTCCTCCTTACTTCCAGGTTGGATCTCCTTCTAATGTGTTTCCATCCATTGCTTCATGTCCTGCCCTCAGGTGCAACAGAGAATAAATGGATGCTGTTTTCCCTGTGACAGCCCTTCAAGTATTGGAATTCTGTATCATGTCTCCCCTAAGCCTTTTCTTCGTTAGACTAAACATACCTATTTCCCTTAGCTATTCACCATACAATTTAGCCTTCTTATCCCCTTTGGCTGTGCAGGTTTTTTCTGAAAACCACTTTTATTCCTTGATACCTGCTGCCATATGCTATGAAAATGTCCCAAAGCCCTTGAAAATGTAATTACTGGAATAAGTAAGTGGAATTATATAAAAACACGCATCCAATAGGACACAGAAGCTGAAACTTATATAGTGGAAAACCAGGAGGAAAAGCTTATTCCAGTTTGGATTATTATTATTATTATTATTATTATTATTATTATTATTATTATTGCAATGTAGATGAGAAAAAGACTCATTTTACTGTAATTCCACATGACGACTACAAATGTGATGAGTTGCTGAGATTCATATTTTGAAGCAAGAAATTGGTAAGTGTGATAGCTGCCCTCAACCTTTGGAACTCCCTGCCAAGGGAGATCAGGCCAGCTCCTTTTAAAAAGGTAGGGGGAAAAACATTTTTTAAAAAAATACTCAAAACAAACCTTTGATGGTATTTTAGATTGCTGAGTTGAGTTTTGAACAACGTCTTGAAACAATTTTTTTTAGAATAGTATTTTCACTAAAATACAATTTAACAAGGGTTCTTACAAGAATTGGGTTTTTGTTTGATTTAAAAACTTTTAAAACTGGCTCAGATATCATTCTTTAAAGGAAAAGAATGTTATCATTCAGATAATTAAACTATCAGTCAAATGGGGTGAATCCTAAATGCTGAACAGAACCTATAAGGTATAATCACATGGTTAATTGTAAATTGCCCTCTGGAACAAAAATTTCCCTTCTTGACCCCCATGTCAGTGGTGGGTTGCTACCGGTTCACCCCAGATTGGGCAAACCAGTAGCGGCTGTGGCAGGAGGCGCCGCCCACCCGCCTGGATGCATGCGCAGAAGTGTCTCACACATGCACAAACTGGTAACAAACTAAATTGAAACCCACTACTGCCCCATGTGACTGTCTTAAAAAGAAGCAATGAGCTTAAATAGATGCATCCCTTGAGGTTGTTTTTCTGTTATTTAAAAGTAAGGTAAATCTATAGCCCTGCAGACTTTTATTATTCTGATAACCAGGTTTGGGAGGTCAAATTGTTGCATCCTGGAAAGTCCCTGGAGGACTCAATTGAAAGGTAGCTTTAATCAGGAAGGGCTACAAGCATTGCTAAGCAGTGATAACTACATAGCAAATGAATGAGTTTTCTTTCCTGGGCCAACAGGGACTTCTGATGGATGAAGCAATAAAGAACAGAGCAGCAGCAAGCTTTTGCAGTGTCCTGCAAAATCAAGCTCTGAAATTCTAGGGCTGAATGCTAAGCATAGAGGTAAAAAACGTAGAGCCTTGAAACAAGAAAGCTGCTTGCAGACAAAGAGACCTCAGTATATATCTTGGTTTAACGTGGGGATAGGTTGGAGGTGCCAGGTAAGTTAAGAAAAGTGTGTGACTCCATGGCATTCAAAATAGTTGTTTTCTTTTATTCAAGTTGGAATTATTACAAAAATAAAGCTTGATGACAGCACTGTACTTTCATTGGCATTAATTAACCTAATTAACATCAAGCATTCAAAGGTTCACTAAAATGTTTCCTGCAAGTTTAAAAGCAAAATGCCAGGCCTTGCACCAACAGAACTTAATTGAAAGCCACATTCCTGTTTCTTGCCTTAGTCATCTAAGAGGTGGTTTCCCACCCCCACCCCCACAACATTCATATGCTATATAACAAAGTTCTCAAGTTGATTTACAATTTAAAAGGGCCTCTGTTTATTGGATGAGGAATTGGAATGGGACTCCTCAAGACTCTAATATTCTGAGAAAGACATATGGAAGAAAATGATCTTTCTAATAACCTGGTTCAAAGCTATTTGTAGCTTTAAGGAACTTCAGACCAACTTATTAAACAAGAACCAGAAGCAGATCAGGACCAAAGCAGCTGGGGAAGCATAATAAGATTGAAATGTCCTGTTCTCAGTGTCATTGTGACCCCTGTTTTGGATTAACAGAATTGCATACAAAGGGAATTGTATCCACAATTCATTGTCACAGGACATGTTACTAAAGCATGCAAGCATGGCCAAGCTATTTTTATTTGGATACGAGCAAATCAGCCAAAGGTATTAAAAGATTTATTTATTTCCCAGCTTATTATTTTTATAAATAACTTAAGGCAGCGAACACACACAATACTCCTATTTTCCTGACAACCACCACTCTGTGAGGTAAGTAGGATTTCCCACTAACCTGCTAAGAAAATTGTTAGCTCAATGACTAAAACTGGTATTTCAATGATATTGAACTCCAACCAAGACAAAATGGAAACATTTCTTTGCTAGAGAAGCTGCCAATCAATATTTCCATCTTGTGTGGACTAACACAGGATCCTCAGCAGTAATATAGATTCCAAATATTGCTGTCTTGAAATAAGAGTACAGAGGATAGAATGTACATCGTGTTAATGATGACTGGGTAATTCTAGATGTTTTAAATCACAGATGGGATCTTGCATAAGTTTTAGGGCACATCTATGTAAAAGATCTGTGCCATTTCTGATCCTCCTTGGAATTATCGGATTGCCTGATGTTGGCTGGCTTTCATTGTTAAATTAATTTGTTTTCCTGGTTCTTATAGTCAGGGGTGAGCTTCAAAAATTTTAGCAAGGGGTTCTCTGCCGGGTTGCTGGGTGGGCGTGGCCATGGTGGGCGTGGCCTAGTCGGCCTCCTGCACCATGGTGGGGAGGCGTTTTTGCCCTCCCCGGGCTCCGGAGGCTATCCTTGAGCCTCTGGGAGGGCGAAAATGGCCTCCCCAGGTTCCTGAGGCCCTCTGGAGCCCGAACGTCCAGTAGGCCTGTTTTTCACACACACCCCGAGCCTCCCAGAGCCTCTGCGCGCACCCTGCACTTACCTGCATCCAAAACGGGCTGCGTGGGGACTCCTGGGAGGGGCGGGGCCAGCCAGGAGTGGGATTTGGGGGTTCTCCAGACTGCACAGAATCATAGCTAGAGATTCTCCCAAACCCCTGCGAACCCCCAGCAGCCCACCCCTGCTTATAGTTGATTTGAAACCAAAGCACAGCAGTTTTTTTCAGACAGGCTGCAGTTCTGTGGAGCTTGTATGTGGGTCACTTTTTCACTAGTGGAATCTGTTGACTCATTCCAAGATTCTGCTCCTGCACTGTCTGCACCTCAAAGCTACACAAGTTCAATATCCTGGAGATTGTTCATATTATTTAGGACTTCAAGTCATTCTTTCCTGAACATAACTGCTAAACATTAAATACACTTTAAATTGCCTTTTGAAACTTTTAAGTGAAGCAGATGGACGGTGGCAAGAGCTAGGTATGTCTAGCCTATAGAAGAGAAGGATTAGTACTTGAGGGCCTGTCACAAACAAGAGGGAATTGACTTATTTTTCAGAGTATTAGAGGGCAGGTCAAGAAGTAATGGGTGGAAGCTTATCAACCTTCTGGAGAACCGGTTGTTAACTTTCTGAGCAGTTTGGTGAACTGGTTGTTGGAAGAAATCATTAGGGCAGAGAACCGGTTGTTAAATTACTTGAATCCCATCACTGATTATAACTATTTGGGAGGAAGAATGCTGACCATTTTTAATTTCCTTTTTGCACAGAGCAGAAGTGAGAGATTTTTTTTTTGTTGTTAAACTGGGATCCAAGGGATCATAAAAAGGGGGGCATTTACTGACCAATATTCTGGGTGCTCTTCTGTTAATGAGTGACAGAAACATTGTCTAGCATTGTCTAGGTGACTGTTGCAAATTTTCAGTATTTCGGGTCTGCAGATGGGAGGCTAACATCAAATTGTTTTGTAAAATAAACGCGGAAGGACGTTTGAATCTGCCATGTTTCTCACACGGTGGTTCTTCCTTTTGATAATGGATATTAAGATAAATCCAATTATTTATGTTACTAAGATAAATGAAATGAAACAAATGCAAAAAAATATATATAATTTCAGAGGACAAAATATTGGGGATTCTAGAACCTTATTTAGTACAAAATGTAGCTTGAATGGATATCTAGCATATTTAATAAAGAAGTTCATAGCGTTTGAAGACTACAATGCAGAGAGGCCCACCAGCACCTCAGAGGAAATTACCTCTTATTTTTGTTCTTATTGTATTAAATGTTCAACATAACCTGGAGGTTATCCACATTGTTGGGCTGAAGAAGAGATTTGATTTTTAAGAGCTATAAGAGAGTTATAAAAGGTCTCTGAATACACAGTGCAAAAAAACATTGATTTTCTATGTTTACACCCTGAGGAGGCAAGTCATCTTTTACAATCTATCAACAAAATGGGTGATGATTAGGCTTTTGAAACAGACTTGCTATCACAAGCAGTTTTATCTTAATGGATTTTTATTTTATTTTTTAAAAAAACACTATTCAATTAAAGATATGAAACTATGTAGAACCAAGGAAAGAAAAAAATTTTACAGGAGAGAAAAGGGAAGAGCAGGCTGCACATGATCCTGGGATTAGAGGACTATGTGTCTCGTTTGGCATACTGAAGAATCTGGTATGGTGTTCTAATCTACTTTGGGTGCAAAGCCAGGTTTTGCTTGGCACTTGGCCTGCGACAGAGTTCCCGAAGGAAGGTTTTTTTGGGGGGGGGGGCAGGAGGGGACCAGGATAATTAAGTATTACCCCATTAGAAAATGTCCCCTGCCTTTGAGTCTGCTTCCAATCATCCTGTGACATTTCTAGTCCTGCTTTGGTTACGAAGATGACAGCTCAGTCAGACTTAGATAGGTGAAGAACATAAAGAGGTTTCAGCTTGGACCATTGATCCAGCTCAGTCAGGATTCCCCAGCTCACCGGCTTTGCCAAAGTAGGTTGTGGCAGCAACTCTCCCATCTTCTCTAGAAGGAAGATAAATTGCACAAACCCAGACTCTGGGGCTTCAAGTAAGGGTCTTACCCCTTCTTAACAACAGATGCCGGGACCTGAAACTTGATCAAAACAAGGATTCCTCTACCACCGAGTTATATTCTTTTTTCAACCATTAAAAAAATAGAAAATGGGCCAAAGCAGAAGCTGCCTAAGAGAAAACTAGGCCAGTTCCAAAGGCCAAAACAATTATAACAAAAGTATCTCAATATTTACATGATTGTAATCATGTAATTACAACGGTTACATGAACTGGGCATGGCTAGTCTAGTGAAGAGAAGGACCAGGGGAGACATGATAGTCTTCCAATATTTGAGGGACTGCCACAGAGAGGAGAGGGTCAAGCTGTTTTCCAAAGCACCTGAAGGCCAGACAAGGAATAATGGATGGAAACTGACCAAGGAGAGATTCAACCTAGAAATGAGGAGGAACTTTCTGACAGTGAGAAGAACAATCAACCAATGGAACAGCTTGCCTTCAGAAGTTGTGGGAACTTCATCACTTGAGACTTTCAAGAAAAGATTGGACTGCCATTTGTCAGAAATGGTGTAGGGTCTCCTGCTTGAGCAGGGGGTTGGACTAGATGACCTATAAGGTCCCTTCCAACTCTGTTAATCTGTTATGTATGTTCTCTCATTATACAACAGAATTTCAAAACCCCGGCTTCTTTTAAACTGCTGTCCTCCAGATAGATATCCAGATAGATAGAGTTTCTAGAATTTAGATACGCTGAGAATTCTTGAAATTGCCATCTCCACCTTTCTGGAGGTAGGAGAGGGCTCTTGGTAGGATAGATGGTCCTATGTACACAGACCCCAGTGTTTGCCAGGGATTTGATTCAGTGGGAGCAAAAAACAGCCCCTACCCTCCAGTCAAAGGGCGCAGGATTCAAGGTTTTGGCACTGGAGGGGGAAAATGCCTCTTCCAGCAACCTTCAGCAATACTACCATAAATTAATCAACACTTTGCTACCCCTTTGTTCCATTCAGCATCAGTGATCCTAAGGATAGCTGCTTCATCCCGTATTTAAACATTAACTTCCCCATAATGAAAAGAGAACCCCCGTTGAAACATGAAGGAATTTGTCTTCCCCTCCTCTCTTCCATGTAGAACAACGCAGAAGTGGAGTCAAATGTTTTCCCTAAATCTAGTTTTTTTGGCTTCCGTGCAAAAAGGAACAGAATACTATAAAGGCTACCAATGAATCTATATGTGCATGCATGTGCAGAAACCCACATATGAAAGTATTTTTAGAAAAACAGCAAAAACCTCATTAAGTGTTTGCCAACTTTCTCCTCTCCTTCTGACTGACAGTAAGAACAAGAAAATGTCAGGAATGGGCTGAAGGAATCCAAGGAGCAGCTGGTAGAATATTAGTGGCATTTTCACCATGGTTTTTCTAAAATGGTTATGGTCCAGTGGTAGAGATTTAAGATATGCAATAATTAGCTCCAAATCCATCAGCACCGATCAACAGCAATGAATCTTATTGGAATGGGGAGAGGAGCTGGGTTTGTCCAATGATGCCCCCAATGTGGCAAATGGGCAAGGATATTGGAAGATGCATTTCAACCTCTCCATCCCTGCAGAATCATTAAAATAGGAACTTTGTTCTATCAGGAACAAGGCAAGGAAGACGTAAAACAGAAAAACAAAGTTTATGGAAGGAGTGGAAATAAATAGGCAGGATAATAGAAGGGGTGATGGGAGGCTGTTGAAAAAGTAAAATGCTTTAACATCTTCATCTTTTGATCCCACTTCCCCCCCCCCCAAAAGGATGCCCGTAACAAACAGGCTTACAAACTGAAACTGGGAGAATGTTGCACTGTTGAACACAATGGCAGAGATTAAAATGCCAGAGATTAACCATCCTGGATAATCAACACATAATTGATTTGTTGAAAGGTGATTCTGCCATGAGATGTGAGGCATGCTACAGAAATCCTATGTGCACAAGCTTCCAGTCTCTAAAAGTCCAAAGAAGTCATAATCACTGGCCTGTCCAAAGATCCCTACTTTTCTGTAGTGGACCATTGTATCTGAAGCAATCAAATATCATCACCGGTTGCCTGGATAATTTTTTTTCCAGCCCATTTTTTAATAAATGTATTAGGATTACAATTCCCAGAACTGTGAGGCATATTTAGAACTGTGGCTAAACTATACATTCTCACTTCATTGTATTCTTAAAGGAGTTTAATTAAGAAGAAATACCTGATCTAGCCAGGTAGAAAATAAACTATTAACAAATGAAGGTGATTCTAGATGAGCAAAGCTCCAGACATGGCTATACACAATGGCAGTAAAGGGAGATATAGTGTGCATCATATTGCACAAATGTGAAATATTTTTCCAAACTGCCATTTTTTTGCTCTCAAGACTAGATCGGTTTCCAAACAGAGGAACACAGAGGAAGCAAAACCATGGCACACCTCCAGCCCTGTTTATAGAGCTAGGATCCTCTTCTTTCAATTCTCTTTATTATGCTTTGTCCCTACTCCAAGGACAAGTCTTTGAGAAGTTGTTGAGAGGTGCGAGACCTCTGCAGTCACCTGTTCCCAGACAGTGGCTCTGGAAAAGTGGCAACTATGTGGATCTCAACATCATCTTACTCTAGATGCTCATGACATACAAACCTTAAATTTATCCTTAACCTACCTAAAATGATATATTTTTGATACAAATAGTCCTTGGGTTATGGCCACTCATTTAACAACTGTCCTTTGATCAGTTTTTGAAGTTGCCCCCATTACAGTATCCATGCCGTCATGTGATCACAATTCAGGTGCTTGGCAACCAGCTTGCAATTACAATTGTTGCAGCATTCTGGGATCATGTCAATGCCAGCTTCTCACAAGCAAAGTCAATGGGGAAGCCAACAGGAGGTTGCAAGTTGCTTCCATAAAACCCTCCAACTCCTATGGCTTTTTGTCCCAAGAAGCCCCCAGGCACAGAGCTCAATATTCTATAATTCCCACCACCCATACTCCATGGCGACCCAGTGGCACCCACCCATTCACAACCTGTAGTGCCCGATACCTGCACATCCAGTTCTCTGTAGCACCTGCCCACACTCCATCGTGCCAGCCCACAGTCAGCACCCATCCACCCACTAGCCTGTCTGATATGTGATTTCAACACCCCTTCCCCCTTTACCATCATGATGTCCTTACTTAATGACCCACATAGTCCTTGATAACAGGGACTGTTGAAATTATTGCTAATTGATGTCATCGCAAAACCACACACTTTATGACTGAGCAACAAAAATTCTGGTCCCAATTGCCATCATAACCCAAGGACTACCTATGTTGATAAGTATACCTCACTCCATCTGCTTAAAAAACACCCCAAAGAAATCTGCGTAGACAGCAAGATCCTTCTGTCCCTCCAAACTGTCTGCCAGGCAGTTTCTGGGCTGTTCAAATGTCAAATTTAGACAGACATTCCTTCGGTGATACTGAACAATGCCTTTATATATGCACCTACACCAACTACATCCACTGCTTTCTACCTGCTGCTACTTTTGTATACAGCCAGTCCTTCCCTTGTTCAAACTAGCAACTGTACAAACAGGACCCAAAGGGGAAACAGACTCTTTTTGTAAAAAGATCTTTATTGGAAAAAAAAAGTGGGGGGGGGGACTGTGAAAAGCAGAGAGGGCTTACCCAGCACCAGTAGAGGAAGGAAAGGCCACAGCATCCCAGCAGGAGGACAGACAAAGGGGACTGAGATAGGGAACCAGCTTCATTGGCTCTGAGGGATCCTTTCCTGATGCCGAAAGGAAGGCAAAGCATGTCTTGTGGGCAGAGAGAGCAAGCAAGCACAGCTCAGTGAGGTTAACCAGCTGTGCTGCTCCTCAGATGGGAAGACTGTCTATCAAGAAACATATGTGCATTAGAGATGGGGGAAGGGAAAGGTGTGTGCATGCCAGGAAGTAGGCACTTCTTCCGTGGGAAAGGGAGTGCAAAGCGATACCAAAGAGGCCTGCATTTTCCTACAGTGCTTCTTTTAGGAAGGTAAGGCAGATAAGATTCCTCATCCCATTTCTACTGTAGTTTCTCTCGCACCTTCTCTCATTCCCTGAAAGGGTTTCCTCAGGTGCCTTAAAGAAAGGTTTATGACCGGATGAAGCTACATGGACCAACCACAGGCAATGCTAAGATTGCGAGAGGCTGCCAAAAAGTCATTTGGCTTGGACAAAGAACCCCAGAGGTGAAGAGCTTTAGCAAGAGCTTGTTGCAGCTGAGCCCATTTCCAAACATTGTGCTGCATTCAGGGAAGCAAACCAGAGCAAAGGATACTGGAACACACAGAGAGAGGAGAGGACACAAGAGGTAGAAGAGAAGAAGTTAAGGGAAAGGCAAGCAACACCTTCTTTAGGAAAGGGTGGGCTTGCTCGCTATAAAACTAATGATTAGAAATGGTATTGCAGTTAAAGATAAGGCTGTGCAGGCTGAAGAATAATGGGGTTTGGCAAAGTATTGCCAAGCTGGGAGAGGCCAAGCTGCAGCTTCAAGTGGCGTGTGTCCAAGTGGGTTCAGGCACCATGCCCTGAAGACGGTGGACTGTATCCATCATACTAGTCTTTCCCCTTTCCTTTTCTGGCTGTATGAAACAATTAAGGAGGAAGAACATTAAGCACAACATACTACATGAAGACTATATTCCTGCAACACACCAACCCATGATTTGCATAAAAATCAGATATTGAATAAAACACACTTTGCTGAATCTGTCCAACACAAGAAACCATAAATAATAATTTCAAGTTATCTTGACAGGGTTCACATAATCTACACCAAAACCAACGAAACCATAATTTATTTGCGTTGGCAGGTTTAATATTACTGCAACAGCTGCTTTCCCAAAGTTGCCAACTGATTGCAAATCACCTGACCCATTCTGGCTATCCTGGCATGTAAACAAGGTCACACTTGTTTTTGGGCTCCTGTACTCCCAATCTCTGTGGGAGAAATTTAAGATGTTTGGATTCCTTTCCAATTCCCCCCACTGATGCCCACTAAATATGGAGAACCTACAATTACCAGAATGCCAGTTGGGAATTCTGGGCATTGGAACAGGACTAGTGATGCTGCTTGCCTTATCTTTTCCCACTCTCACTATGCCCCCAGGAGACCCTACAGAGAGAAGAAATGAGGATTGTGAGTATCCTCAAGCCCTCTGGGCACAATATGGGCTCATCCATATTTTTTTCAACTTTTATTTGCCAAATAAAATATAATTGCAAAAGAACGTGGGGAAAGTAACATCATAAACAGTTGGCTACCAGAAGCCTTGGCTGAGAGGAATTACAGCCTTCTCCTCTAATAGTTACAGCTCTTTAAAAAATTTAGAAACCTGAAAAGTAATGTGTGAGGAGCCATCCCCTAAACAATATAAGGTCAAATTACTAGTATTGGATCCAGAGATATCTGTTTCTAGGAGAGACAGTAATTTTGTCCTGCCTGCGTTATACATATACAGTATAAAAGAACGTGCTCCACAGTTTCAACCTCAACTCTATCAACAGGAGCATAACCGCTCACTTATCGGGAGCCTCTTAAATCGTCCGTCCACTAATGCTGAGGGCAAGACATTGAAACGAGCAAGGGAGAAGACTCTTCTATACTTAGGGATGGTTAAAGTATAAAAATATGAGGCCATCCTCAGTCCAGAATTGTTAAATTGGCTGAAGATCAGAGGGAAGCAGGTTTTATTAGCTCTAGCTCTTAGATATTGCAAGTCTATGTCCACAAGCCGTTGGGCTCATCCATATTGCTTTCTTAGCAACAACGGTTGTAGTAGTTTGCCTACGACTGGTGTGCACTCTCTGCCACGGGCACTCTCCTCAGTATCCATAAATCCCTGGCCAAGTTTGTTTATAATGTACTTTGAAGAGCTATTTTGTAGCTCTTCAAAGTACATTGCAGCTCGTCAAAGTACATTATAAACAAACTTGGCCAAGGGCGTTTATGGACACTAAGGAGAGTGCAAAACAGACCAGAATCTTTTTGGGCAGAAGGAACCCTAAGAAATTACAGGAATAACTATGCCTGGCAACCAGGATAGCCACCCATGAATTCCTAGCCTTCTAAATGCTCCATTTCCATTTTTGTATCACTTGGCAGGCATGCAAAATAGGGCACCAAAATGGTCTTCTACAAATAAGACTGACCTTTGGATTTTGACTTGGTCTTGGGAGAGCAGGGCTTAGTCACTTGAATAGTTTCCTGGCACTCGGCATTGTAAAGAGCTTTCTTCAGAGTACCTGAACGTGCCTTCAGACCTGTTGCAGGGTCACAGCCACCCCAGTTCTCAAACTTGTACTTGCAATCAGCTAGGGGTGGGGGTGGGTGGAGAAGAGAGCAAGAAGAGTTAGATACATGCAGGATCCACAAGAGCTTGACTTCCCCCCATCATCAGTTTTTCTAAAATAAGAAACAATCCAGATGCCCAGGAAATGAGCACACATTTCACAAACTCATATGAACCACTGCCATCCACCGCAGAGCTATCAGGACTGCTTGGCTAATGTGACAAAGGGAAGCTTCTTATATACTTAAATAGTAAAAGAACTGCAGCTGCCAGAAATTACAAATAATTTCTTTCCGAAAAGACCAGTTGGCCTCAGAAGCCAGAGAATATGATTAAAATGCTTTTAATATGAAAGCATAACAAGAAGCGATGGAAGAAGCCAATTAACAGAGCCAACCAAGGCAAAAGAATACTGCATAGAAGTAAGCAATGGGCTGACATACAATGCAGGTATTAATTGTTTGGGTTTATTCCCTCACATTTAAACTTGAAAGAGCCGAGGTGGCGCAGTCGTTACAAGTGCAGTACTGCAGCTATTTCAGCTGACTGCTAGTTCAGCAGATCAGCAGATCAAATCTCACCGGCTCAAGGTTGACTCAGCCTTCAATCCTTCCGAGGTGGGTAAAATGAAGACCCAGATTGTTGGGGGCAATATGCTAATGCTAATGCAATATGCTATATGCTAACTTTGTAAACCGCTTAGAGAAGGCTGTAAAGCACTATGTAGCGGTATAGAAGTCTAAATTAAAAAAAAAAAACCTACTTGGCCGGCTTCCTGAGACTCTGATAAGTTTGTTGCATCATTTCCCGAGTCTTCCTCTAAACCAGATGAATGCTCACCTCCAAACTCCTTCTTCCAGTTGCATGGGATCTTGCATTTGAGCTTCTTTGTCTCATCATGACAAGTTCCCTCACGGAAGCCCACACCACAGTCCTTGCTGTTGGGGATACATGGGCCCCAGCGCCATTCCTCACAATCGGAACCATTTTTCTTGACCTTGTCTGCACAAAAAAACAGGCAGTCATTTCAGACTCACAAGAATTAGCCTTCTCTTTTCTTATAATCTATTCTGAACCATTAAAGCAGCCTGTCTTTCTTCACCTAAAATAGGATGGAGGGCTCTTTTGGGCCTTCAAGTTAGTACCAGCTCCACTGACTGCATGGCAGGTGTTTTTGGGGAACCCTTTGCAGTTGCCTTCTTGCTAGGACTGAGAGCGAATGAGCCCAAAGGCCCCCAGCTGGCTTCTTGCCTATGGCAGAACTAGAACTTACCATCTCCTGGTTATTAGCCTAGTTCCCAGAAGAAAAATGTTGCTGTCTGTACTTTTTAGTCCACTTCTGAAAGCTCCACTGAAAGATATTTTCTGAAGATAGCCAACTGTAAATAGGAATTTACCAATCACAAATCTGACACTCACCCTTCTTATTCTTGCCTGCTTCTGAAGATACAGCCAGAAGGATAAAAACCAGAAGGAGAAAGAGTCCACGGGCCTGCATTCTGTAAGAGGAAAAACACTGAAATCACTGTTGGCACAAATATATTCTAATCCCAAGAAAAGAGCTAGTAAGATGGAGGAATGTGACAAAGGGGAGGGAAATGATTTTCTGCTGACATGGTTCCTGAGTCTTGTGTAGCCTGGAATGTAAACATGCAACAGGTTAAGCTCCCTTCACCACTTCTTTGCCACAGCAGGAAACACATCAAATGCTACAAATCAGTAATTCAAGCAGTAATTAAATTCAGAGAAAAAAGACATTTAAAAAAAAAACAACAAAAAAAACCCTGCCATTTCAAGTTCATCCAATTTCCTTAAGGCTCTGATTTGCTAGTGAATTCTTAGCATTTTAAACCTTGCACTGGGATAATCTATTTAGCTTTTTTCATTCAAGGCAACAGATGCAGATGCTTAAGATGAGAGAAGTTTCCTTCTCAAAATAAACAAAGAAAATACCTCTACTGAAACATCACTACTTCTTGCATAAATTTACATAATTCTAAAAACCAATTTAGGCAAATGAGTAATTATGTCCTCCCCTTTGATAAGTAGTGCGGATGATATTATTGGTAAATAATGGGGAATTTTAATTGCTATCTAATGAAAAATATTAGCTGTTGGTGACTCTATATATATTTCTTCAGGTTGTTGTTTTTTTTGCAACAATCTGTAAGAGGTATTTTTTTAATTACACTCCTTTGTATTTGTTTTACTTTAATCTAGTTTAAAAGAGTAAAATGTCCTCCATTTGAGCTTGACCCTGGTGATTGTATCCATAGTTTTCTTAGCAGTATTTGCCACTGTTTCCTCTGGAATATTTTTGCCTTCCCAGTTCAGCTACAACTTGGATTTCCAAGTAGTCACCTATAATCCAAGTACTGCAGCCCTGGCTTAACTTTTTCAAAATCAGCCAAGGTCAATTAGATGCTGCCATCTGCTCTATAGATATTAATCTACATAGATTTCCTCAAAATCCTGTAGAATCATTTATCTGTTTATAATATGTGCCTCTGACTTTAGTAGACAAAGCGGAAGTCCATTAAGTACAGGAATTAAATTTATTCTTACTAATCATATTATCCTAGCATGTACCCAAACTAGTTCTTATTATAAGTTGCTGTCTATAGAACATCTTTACTAAGTCGCTGCAAAAGACAGTGGTAAATTACTTAGCACTATATAATGGTTCCTGGTTGAGCTATCTGCTTACATCACAATGCTATTAGTTATTAGTTTCTTTATCTCCTGCCCTTGCTCTGTTTTGCTCAGTTAGGCTTCCTTTTTGGTATGTGTTGTCCTAGGGAAGCCTCACAAGACACTACACCTTCACACACCACTCTTAGGGGGACACCTGTCAATGGAAACACCTTTCACTATGACAAATTGTGTCTTAAAAGATCCAGGTAAGGGGCCTTTCCAATGCAGCTTTCCAAGCAGAGGACAGAAACCAGATAAGGTTCATATCCCCAATTTCCAAATAGCATTCCCTCTCTGGCCCTCCTAGACTTTAAATATGGCTCAACCAAGTGGAAAACTGGGAAAAACAAACCTGCCAAAGGGATTTATACTGCCCCTACTTTTGGAAAGGTGGGTGGGGCCTGGTGGCTGGCCATAGCGAGGCCTTACTCCCCACTTCTCTCCATGGTTGCTACCGTCCCCCGATTTCCCCCAGTGTCTCTTTTATCTAGCGCTCAGCAGGCCACCTCGTCTCTGCCAAAGCTCCTGAGGCTGGGGAGATCTCTGCTGCCATGGAGCCTTTATGTATCTCAAAAAGAATCCAGAGTGGGAAAAGAAACCCTGACAGGCAGTTTTGAGAATTAAAACAGAAGATTAAAAATAAAAGCTCATCACAATCAGATCTCGTGGGGAGCTTTAGAAGGCAGGCTGCTCCCCCTGCTGGTTCACTTAATGTCAACCTATTACCATATCCCAACAAAGAGTCTATGGAAACAAGCGTCGCACCAAATTGTGTATGTGCACACACATCTCATGAAGAAGAGGAATGGCACACATGCACAAAGCTATGGTGCACAGGCTGTTTTTGCTCCATCACTGTTACTTTCCATTTTCCTCCCAACTCCTCCATTACTTATTTCAGCAAACAGGGTTTAGTCATTCTTCTTTTAACAGATTTATAAACTTCCCACATACATGGAACTCCACAATGGTGATTCAATTTATGGGTGCAGATAGAATTCTTATTTACCCAGGACAGCCAACAAAAGATCGAAGAATAAAATATAAAAGGAAAAGTAAAATGTTTCGGTTGGGTCTCCCACACAAACAGAAAATGTGTGGATAAATGAGGAAATTAAACTCTTTGTTTAGTTGCACAGAAGTTGTAACAGCCAAAGCATTCTTTCCCAAGGTTTCTCAGTGGTATGGCAGGGGCATGAAAATGACCAATATATGACGTGAAGCCTTTTAATTTGCTTCCTGAATGCAGAAACATGGCTATTAAGGTTTTGCTTGATTAAGCCAATTACAGTAACTCTGCCGTCCTTTGCTACAAATGGCTAATTTCAATTCCAGATTCAGAGGCTTCAATGTGGTAAAAAATAACCATTGAAAAAAGAGGGCAATACTCAGTCAAATAAAGTTTTCAAGTTCTCCACTTAGTATTCTAAAATACAAAGTCCATGAATCAGCAAAAAGCAAAGTAGAAGTTTAATAAAATAATGAATAATATGCACAACTGCATCCTTTTGCTTATTCGCTTTAAACGCTATTAGAAAAAAGGCTATTATGACAAACTGAGTGGATGCTTTCTGAGCTCAGTTTTCCCGGGACTTGTGTCCTCCAGCAATACAGCTGGGAGCTGAAGAGGGCAACCCAGGAACATCTGGAGAGCACCAGATGGAGGCTACAGCTCTAGCCCACGAGACCAAGAAGGGTGAATTGTGTTTTGTTTTTAAAATAACATACCCAATCCATTTGTTCACTTGGCATACACAACTACTAAATCCAGAGTGCTGGATAGATGCTGATTATGAAACTGATTTCAGGCGAGGGTTAAATGGTGGGCTTGGCCAAGAGGCCTGCTTGAAACTCTATCCAAACTTCTGGTAAGGTGCGGAGAAGGATGACGGCTTTCTGGGCCCCCTTGGCCAGGCCCACCATTTTTTTTTTTGCATCAGGTTACTTCATATTTCCTTTCAAGGCTCCCAACTATTCTAGAGGTATCCAGTAAGCTGGAAAATCTAACCAGCGTATGTCTTTCATTATATGCACTCACAGGATATTTAATCGGTGTTCCTCCCCATCCCAAGCAATGAAGTGGAGAGGGTGGGGAAGGGTAGAGAAAGTAGGGGATAGTGGACCCTAAATGGCGTTTCAGACAAAGTAAGTTGGAAGTGTGTTCACAGCCGTGCTGGAGAGAGTCTTTGGCCCCCGTTTCCACCATTGGTGAGACCGGGCTGAAGCCTGCTGTGCTCAGTGGAGGGGAAAGAGAGGTGGCTAAAAAGGAAAGAAAGACACAATCAGCACTTTTGATCCCTCCTCAACAATCCCCCCACCCTCCCAGGCAGGCCCTGCAGAGAGCAGGTCACCTCATTACTGAGGCTCCATTGGCTGCACCTGATGCTGAGAAGTTGTCAGATTCCCTCTGAATTGACCTGTCACAGAGAATTACACAGGCTGAAGGCAGACACCCCCCCCTCCCATTCAGCTTTCAGCTGAGAAACATCCCCTGAGGGAGAGCAAAGTGCCTGTTAGGACACAGCCCAGGCAAACTCTCTTCAAAGCCCCCTTCAAGCAAGGGCAGCAGATCAGCCTTAAGAGCAGCCCGAATCTGAACTCGGCTCTGATTGCAACGTCCAACAATAGACACGCTAGAGGCTGGGTCTGCTGACTTCTTTCTTAGATGCAATAAGCCATGAAAGGCTGCGATCCGGGGAGCTTACAAGGCACTGAACAAGCTGGCCTCATTGTTTCCTCTGGATACCAGCCCATCTTTAAAAAAAAGAGGGGTGACCTCTTAGCCCCAGGGCCACATCCAGCCAAACAAAGGCTTGGAACGCCCATGGCCTTTCCAAAGGTTGTTTTCAAATTGTGACTTTTATTCCTAAATACCACAGGGAGCAATTCAATCCACAAAAATCACATTTTGTTATTGCCTTCGATTTGCTCTAGCTCCATGAATTTTGTCACTTAATGCTTTGTGCCCCCCAAACACCACATGCCCTACACAGAGTTTGTCTTCTGATATATATTTCTTTCAGGAGAAATGTTGAAATCCTGCAAAAAACAAACAATCCTGGCAAACACAGTAAGTCTGGGTGAATGTATTATCCCGATTGTTTAATCGGAGGAACACTCCCTTTTAACTAATTCTCACATTAGTTTTGCAATGCAGGTATGACAGTGCTTCTGAACTGGAGTATCTACGGGGGAGGAAGAGCGTTTGTTTAAAACAACAAGATGGTCCTTAGAGCTGCAGCCACCATCTTAATGTTTTCAACACTCCCTGAAGATGCCGATTCTGGGATCATGTCTGTACCCCACACAAAGATATTAATATTTCCATAGTTGTTTTTATTTAAATAATTTTCACTATTAAAAATTATTGGAAAATTGCTTTTCCAGGTTCTCCAGATAAAGGAGTTTGATGCCCTCTGTGGGATTCTTCACAAACACACACACGGGGGGTGGGGGGGCAACTAGACAAGGAAGGAGGAAAATAATAATCTAAAAAGGCAACTGTACCTATGTCCTTGATTTGGAATGTTTTAACTAGTTGTCACAAGGTCAAACAAGAAAATTCATGAGATGCCATCCAATTTTCTTTAGCTTGTTAAAAACCATGCGCAGTTGCTCTTCCTCCTGCATAAAAAGCTTATTCTGATAATTTACCATAAGCAGGGAAACATTTTATTTTCAGTTAATCTTTCATCACTCAGATTTCCCCATACCAAACTTACTTTTGCTAGTAAGGAACAAAAAATGGAATTCTGGGTTTCCATTTTTGACACACCTACTTGGCATCACAATACCATCTTCCATT